GGGACTGGGTGGGGTGGGACAGGATGGGGAGCCCCGCCTGGCAGAAAGGCAGCTCCAGCGCTGCTGGGGATGCTCTGTGGGGTGGCAGCACCTGGATGAAGATCCCGGCTCCTCCGGGGCAGGGCCTGGTCCTGAGTGGGGGCTGCCGCTTCCCTCCTTCCTCCCGCACCCCCTGCACGCCCTGCTCCATCCCCCCCAGCCCAGGACAAGCCGGGGTCTGGCTGGGAGCCGAGATGGGAGCAGTGGGATGGCCAAAGAGGGGTCGTGGTGGGGCAGGGGAACAGGAAAAACCAGCCCCCGTTTGCTGGGCAGAGCAGGGCTAAGGATCGGCCCAACCAGCCCCCCTACCCCCCCCAGGCTCAGCTGCCCACACGGTGATTAAGGTGATTAAAGGGGGCTAAAACCCTGCCCAGACCTGCAGGTGGGTCTTGGGCTTGGTCTCAGTCTCTCCATCACATCCCTGGGGTCGGACCAGGGTGGGCTGGGGCTGATGGGGGGAGAGTGTCCCTGGGGGGTCCTGCCTGTCCCAGAGCTGGGGGCTGTGGCCCCCATGGAAGGGGGGAGCAGGGTGGGTAGAGGACACAGGTATGGGAATGAGGTTTTATTGAGGGAGGCAAATGCTGCCGCTGCAAGAGGCTGAGTGAGGTGCTGGGGCTTCTTGTGCAGCCGGGGGGGGATGTGTCTCCCCTCCCCAAGAGGCAGAGACAGTCTCCTGCTCTGCCCTGGGTTGAGGAGCCCTGAGCATCAGCCCTCAAACCCCCTGGAGCTGGGAGAACCTGGGAGCCCTGGCCCTTTTCTCCCCTCCTGGGAGCTCCCAGGCAGCCAAGACACCCCGGTCCCTCTCCCTGCAGCCCATCTGCCCCCGGGACACCCCTCCAGCCCGGCTAGGGCTCTGGCTGCCCCTTCTGATGGTGGTGCCCTTGGATGGTGTCATGCACCCAGTCGATGTAGTTGGAGATCTTGGTGTAGATGTCAGGGTACCGGCGGTCCCCGCATCTCTGCCCGGAGAACGAGACGATGCCATAAACCTTTCCCTTGAAGGTCAGGGGCCCCCCGGAGTCTCCCTGCGAAGCAAAGGGATAGGAGGGAGGTCAGGGCGTCTCCTGGGGCAGGGGGGATGGCTGGGGGGTGCGGGGCTGGGGTGCACTCACTGCGCAGACGCCCTGCAGCGTGGTGTTGCGGCTGGCCCCGCACAGCATGTTGGGCGAGACCTTGCCCCTCCACAGCGTCCGGCAGAAGCTCCGCTTGACGATGGTGGTGCTGGTCTCCATCAGCTCGGTGGGCCGGTCCCCGTAGTTGGAGATGTCCCCCCAGCCCAGCACGTGGCAGACGGTGTCGGGCTTCAGGTCGATGTGGGGTGCGGGCAGGCGGATCCGCTTCACGTACTCATTCAGCGTGGCTGACCTGTTCAGCTGGGTGGGGGTCGGGGGGCACAGGCGGCTTCACTGCTGGGGCATAGCCCCCCCCAGCACCCCACCACACACCTGCCCAGCTCCCCACTCATATTGAGCCCCCCAGACCTGCCCTTCCCATCCCTCTTCGGAGGCTGCACCCCAACACCAGCCCCTCTGTTACTGGTCCCAGTTTGCTCCAGAGACTGGCTGCCCGGGAGCGGTAGGAGCTGCCAACCCGGCCATGGTCGGCTTGTCCTCGGCTGCCTCCATCGCACCCCACGGCGCGGTCCTGCTTCTCCGGAGAAGCACTGACATCTAGTGTCAGCTCGGGGCGTGGGGGACCCCATCTCCCTCCTGCGCCCCATGGGGCGCAGGAGGGAGATGGGGTCCCCCACACCCCATGGGACGCCCCCATGGGCCCCATGGGACGTCCCCATGGGACGCAAGAGGGAGATGCCCACTTGGCCTGAGCTGGTCCACGATGGCCAGTGGCACCCGGGACTCACCCTGAGCAGTCGGATGTCGTTGTCCACCCAGCGAGGGTTGTAGTGCGGGTGGGCGATGGACTCCGCGACGCTGAAGACCTGCTGGGACTCCTCAGGCTCCTCCAGCCGGTGGGCGCCCAACACAACCCGCACCGAGGGGTTGCGCCTGCGGCAGAGGGGTCCTGAGTGGGTGCCAG